TCACAATTACTGATCTTTATCAGTCTTGGAGAGTGGCCAGGCCGATATCTTTCAGACGCCGCAATACTTGGCAAGGAATGAACTAATTGTCTCCTGCAAACTCCACTCCCCTTTCGCACCTCTTTTATTCCCTCTGGGAGGGGCCATTCATCATCCACCTGTGGCCTTACTCCCAAGTTGACCGTTGTTCCTTAGCTGTTCCCTTCGTCTGGCAACTCTGCATGCGCAGAGTTGCCAGACGAAGGGAACAGCTAAGGAACAACGGTCAACTTGGGAGTAAGGCCACAGGTGGATGATGAATGGCCCCTCCCAGAGGGAATAAAAGAGGTGCGAAAGGGGAGGGGAGTTTGCAGGAGACAATTAGTTCATTCTTGCCAAGTATTGCGGCGTCTGAAAGATATCGGCCTGGCCACTCTCCAAGCCTGATAAATTTCAGTAATTGTGAACTATTTTGAAAGGCTGTGGGAGAGGAAAGACTTTGCTGGAGAGGAATTCACTGTCAAGTAAATAAAAGGGGTTTATTGGGACGAGGACCCAGCTTTGTGCTACTGGGGGAGCCTAGGTCAGAACAAGGTTTGAGGTAAAGCCTCAGCAGATGAGCTGCCGAGCTGAGATAAAACAATGACAGATGTGCGAGTCCGGTGTTTCCCAACCTTGGCAAATTTTAAGTTGTTTGGGCTTCAATTCCCAAAATTCCCCAAGCCTGGCTGAGTTCCACACCTATTAAAGTTGTTAAAGTTGAGGAACAAGGTTGATAGTCAACCAATAGTAGAGAATCTTGGTAGCTCAGGGTTGAACTGTGGGATCCCTTGATGCCCTCTGAGCTTGGTGTCAACTGTCCAGTTGGTGAATCCAGAAAAAGCAGTCATCATCATCTTTTAACTACCCCATAATCCCTTGTGGGCAAAGGAATGGAGCTTACAGAGTGCTTTAATGGCCAGATGCTCTTCCTGTCGCCAGCGTGGAGTTTTGTTCGGCAGATATATCCTCTCTGTCTTGAGATGGAGAGAGCTCTTTCAATTCTTTTGGAAACACCAAAAACATTACAAAGAATAAGAAATCCATTTAGACGGACATCCTTAACTTGTCTGTGCTGGTCTTAATATTCGGCATTTTTTGTTTTGGCTTCTCCCTGCCAAATTTCACAGTCCCCTTTTTTTTCGCGCCTTCTGATTTTTCCGGCACAGGAAATCTGCTTATCCGATCCTCCTGTGGTCATGACATTGGTGGATGGACCCACCGGCGAAAACGACAACCTGATCTGCGTGGCCTACCGACACCAGTTTGACCTGGTCAGCGAGAGCACGGGCGAGTGCTACCGAATGCACAACGTTGACGCGAGCAGGGTAGGTCCAAGTAGAGAGTCCGGAATTAGTTTCGCGTCAGAAGATCCTTGTCTTGAGAATCGGAGGGGGGAAGAAACCCAGGTATTTTTCCCGGGAGTCCAATAGTAATGGGAACATTGCGCCACGGTGGCGCAGTGGTGAGAGTGCAGTACTGCAGGCTACGTCCGCTGACTGCCGGCTGCCTGCAATTTGGCAGTTCGGATCTCAACAGGCTCAAGGTTGACTCAGCCTTCCGTCCTTCCGAGGTGGGTAAAATGAGGAGCCAGATTGTTGTTTTTTTTTGGGGGGGGGGGCAACAGGCTGACTGTAAATTGCTTAGAGAGGGCTGTAAAGCACTGTTAAGCGGGATATAAGTCTTAAGTGCTATTGCATCCAGTTTTGGTTGCCATGATATTAAAAAAAGAGGTGGAGACTCTAGAAAGAGGGCAGAGAAGAGCAACCAAGATGATTAGGGGACTGGAGGCTAAAACACACGAAGAACAGGTGCAGGAGTTGGGAAAGTCTAGTGAAAAGAAGGACTTGGGGGGGGGGGGACATGATAGCAATGTTCCGATATCTCAGGGGCTGCCACTAAGAAATCTATTCTCCAAAGCAACTGAAAGCAGGACAAGAGGCAATGAATGCAAACTAATGAAGGAGAGAAGCAATTCCAGCTTCGGCGGGGACACGAAACAATCGGGAAAGACAATTCTATACAGTTTCTGGAAGACAGAGGGGAGAGCAGGGAAAGGAGAGATCCTTGCACTGGGTGGCAGTCAGCCTGGCCTCCAGTTTGCCCACTATCCTTGCCCACTATCATTGCAGGTTAATTTTGTTGCAGCTATTGATGTATATGAAGACGGAGAAGCCGGACTGCTTCTGTGCTACAATTGTAAGTACCGTTTTCTGCTCGGAAGCTCCGAAAAGCAGAGCCTTCTTTGGGCTTCGACCTCCTCCTGTTTTTATTCAGTCCAGTTCTCGTTCTCCTCCTCCTCCTCCCCCTCCTCCTCCTCCTCCTCCTCCTCCTCCTCCTC